TTACGTTTAAAGGAGGTGATATATTTCAAATATAATATGTATGTGATATAGTATAGCAGTATTTATACAAGCAATTGCTACAGTGTACATTAATTGTTTTCTTCCTGTAACAACAAATAATCAATCATGCCACCACATTTTTATATCAAGTCTACATTGTAAACTGTCTTTTTGGTGGCTGATTATAATGCAGGCTGAGTAAGGATAAACTGTGGTTTCTTTGATCACAATGGATGGAAGCAATAATGGGAAATACCCTATTTTATTGTAAATAATGCTATTTATAGTGATGGACAAAATTTACATTGCAAACATGCAAAGAAAAAAATCCTATAGTAGTAAGACTGCATTCCATTTGATTTCCCCTCATCCTTTCTGGTATCCTTAGTATCCTAACTGTACAATTATGTTTTTTTTCCCTCTTGGACAAAATGAAGTCCTACAGGTACAAACACAAGATACTCCACTTAAGCAGAAAAAATGAAATGTGAAGATACAGAATGGAGGACACCTGGCTTAACAGTACGTGTGAAAAAGATCTTGGAGTCCTTGTGGACAACAAGTTAAACATGAGCCAACAATGTCATGTGGTGGGGGAAAAAGGGGGATTTTGAGCTGCATAAATAGGAGCATAGTTTCTTGATCCAGGGAAGTCATGCTACCCCACTGTTCTGCCTTGGTCTGCCCACACCTGGAATACTGTGCCCAATTCTGGGCACCTCAATTTAAGGGAGATGTTGACAAGCTGGAAGGTGTCCAGAGGAGGGTGACTAAAATGATCAAGGGTCTAGAGAACCAGCCCTATAAGGCACAGCTTAAAGAGCTGGGCATGTTTAGCCTGCAGAAGAGAAGGTTGAGAGAAGGCACAATGGCCATGTATAAATATGTGAGGGGAAGTCACAAGGAGGAGGGAGCAAGCTTGTTTTTTGCTGCCTTGGAGACAAGGATGTGAAAGAATGGCTTCAAACTAGAGGACAGGAAATTCTACCTGAACATTAGGAAGAACTGTTCAGCAATGGAACTCTCTGCCCCAGAGTGTGGTGGAGGCTCCTTCTTTTGAGGCTTTTAAACAGAGGCTGGATGAACATCTGTCGGTGGTGCTTTGAATTTGATTTTCCTGCTTCTTGGCAGGGGGTTGGACTGGATGGCCCTCGAGCTCTATGATTCTATGAACAGCAAAACTGAATATTATTTTTAAATTGCATCTCACAATTATGCCACGATAAATTTAGAAACGAAAAAGAAAAATAATTTGGTACTGTTCCATTATCCATGCGGAGGCCACTAGAGGATGCTAGAGAGAGAGAAATAGTTCATTTTATGGGGGGGTGGAGGGTGGGTTGAAGGAGTAAAACTATTTCCCCCTGTTTTTCTGTTATTCCCTCCTCCATGTCATGGAAACAACCTTTTATGATATGGGAGGGGGGGGGAATAACCAGCAAAAACAGGAGAAATGGTTTTTCCTCTTTCAATCCCCCCCCCCCAAATAAAATGGACTACCCTCTCTCTAGCACCCCCTAGTAGCCTCTACCAGGCTAATGGAACAGTAATACTTTTTTAAAAAAATCTCCCCATTCAGCTACCCATAGGGGGCACATCTGGATGCAAATGTTAGCGTATTTACCACCCTAGATAATATTCTAAAATAAAATTATCAATGCTAGAAAACGATGGATACTTCTTGCCTCTGTCTCATCATTTTGTAAGTCATTCTTGAATCATTCTTTCTTTCCACTTATCTCTTAGAAATGGAGGACTCTTCCTGTTTCAGCACAGGAAAATAGACAAGGATGTTTACCCAGCAAGGACCAGAAACAGGTATGACCTTTTCCTTTAAGTATTAATTACATCTCAGTGTTATGTGGCAGAGATAATTGCCAAAATAGGAAAGGAAGGTTGGAATCTTAGAACAGCAATATTCATATTTTTCTCTGGGAATAAATAAATCTTCTATGAGCCTAACACTGCATGTACAGTTGTGATAATTAAAATTCTTTCTTTCACAAGTCAGCAATGTGCTTATTGGGGGAAGAATTAAATATCAATCAAGACATACTATTTATTTAAAAGAGGGGGCACCTGGATTTGAACCAGGGACCTCTTGATCTGCAGTCAAATGCTCTACCACTGAGCTATACCCCCTTCCATTCTAAGTTGGTTCAACAGATCTATCTTATTTGTGCTACATCATAACTGGCATGCTGACCAGAGAACAGCAATTCGTTTTATTTGTCTATGACAAATATCCATTGAGTACTGCATGTATTTCCTGTTACAAAATATGTTTCATTTTTTCACAGTTCACAATTATTTGTTTCTTTTGTCTTTTTTTCAAACATCATCCTATGTTGATACATGAGAAGGTAGGCTAAAAACATGGGGGAATGTTATTTGACATCAGGAAATAATAGTGGACAGTGAAGCCCCCCTTTCTGAGATTTCATCATGCACCCTTTCAAGCTTATCTTTGCAAATATTGAGCTCCAAAACGACAACCCTGATTTTCATGCTTTTTGAATTCATTAAAGCAATATATCTCCAACACTGTTCATATGAGCCCTCTTTGGGTGCATCTATATTGTAGAATTAATGCAGATTGACAGTTTCACTGCCATGGCTCAGTGCTATGGAATCCTAAGAGTAGTAGTTTAGTGACGCAAATAAGGCTAAAGACCTTGTAAATCTACAATCCCAATGATCCCATAGTGTTGAGCTATGGCAATTAAAATGGTTTCAAACTGCATTAGTTCTGCAGGGTAAATGCACCCTTAAAGATGACTGTGTTATTGAGCAATGGTAAAGCCCCTCTTGAAAGATTTAAAGTTCACTAAGAGGCCACAAATAAATATAGGATTTTTCCTTTTATTAAAAACTTTTTCTGGAGATCTTGAGTTGCGCAACTTCAAAGCTTTTGAAGATCATGAACAAACATAGCAGCAGCTGTACCCCATGAACTATAATGTGTCTATCCCTTTTATTTATTTATTTCGTATCAGGAGAGAACCAATGTATTTGAGAAAACACAAAGTTTAAGAACTTGGCATTCTATTAAATGTCCCTTGACCAGTAGCTGGCCACTTGGAGTGCCTCTGGTGTTGCTGTGAGAAAGTCCTCCATTGTGCACATGGCAGGGCTCAGGTTGCATTGTAATAGGTGGTCTGTGGTTTGCTCTTCTCCACACTCACATGTTGTGGACTCCTCTTTGTAGCCCCATTTCTTAAGGTTGGCTCTGCATCTCGTGGTGCCAGAGCGCAGTCTGTTCAGTGCCTTCCAAGTTGCCCGGTCTTCTTTGTGCCCAGGAGGGAGTTTCTCATCTGGTAGCAGCCATGGATTGAGGTGCTGGGTTTTAGCCTGCCACTTTTGGACTCTTGCTTGCTGAGGTGTTTCTGCGAATATCTCTGTAGATCTTAGAAAACTATTTCTTGATTTAAGATGTTAGCGAGCTGGCTGATATCCAAACAGGGGATGGCCCGGAGATGTCACTGCCTTGGTCCTTTCATTATTGGCTGCTACTTCCCAGCGGATGTCAGGTGGGTGCAATACTGGCTACACAAGTATAATTTCTCCAGTGGTGTAGGGCACAGACAGCCTGTGAGAATGGGGCATGTCTCATTAAGAGCCACATCCACTGTTTTAACATGGTGAGATGTGTTCCACACTGGGCATACTCAGCAGCAGAGTAGCAATTAAGAAATTGTATCAATTTTATGATTTCTGTGTAACTTGTATCTTTCAAAATGTGAACTGTATCTATTTCAATAGACCTCACAACCCCTGAGGATGCCTGCCTTAGATGCAGGCGAAACGTCAGGAGAGAATAATAATAATAATAATACTTACTTAGGTGATCCCTCATTGTCCAAGTAGGATAATCCTCCAAGGTGGGTCCGTAGGTGACTATGGAGCCCTAGTCTTGATCTGCATCGTCTCCTGCAGTGAGGGCATTGGTTTCCAGGTGGAAGGCGGTCCCGGTTGGGGTTGGCTTGACGCGCCTTCCTCTTGACATGTTTCGCTCTTTTGCCCTCCATCCATTCGTGCCTCTTCAAATTCTGAAGCACTGCTGGTCACAGCTGACCTCCAGCTGGAGCGCTAACAGGCCAGGGCTTCCCAGTTCTCGGTATCTATGTCAGAGTTTTTAAGGTTGGCTTTGAGCCCATCTTTAAATCTCTTTTCCTGTCCGCCAACGTTCAATTTTCCATTCTTGAGTTCAGAGTAGAGCAACTGCTTAGGGAGACGGTGGTCAGGCATCTGGACAATGTGGCCGGTCCAGCGGAGTTGATGGCGGAGGACCATCGCTTCAGTGCTGGTGTTCTTTGCTTCTTCCAGCACGCTGACGTTTGTCTGCTTGTCTTCTCAAGAGATTTGCAGGATTTTCTGGAGGCAGCGCTGATGGAATCGTTCCAGGAGTTGCATGTGACATCTGTAGACAGTCCATGTTTCGCAGGCATATAGCAGGGTTGGGAGGACAATAGCTTTATAAACAAGCACCTTGGTATCCTTACTGATGTCCCGGTCCTCGAACACTCTCTGCTTCATTCGGAATAATAATAATAATAATAATAATAATAATAATAATAATAATAATCTTTATTTATTCCCCACCACCATCTCCCCAGAGGGGCCTCGGAGCGGCTTACATGAGGCCAAGCCCGGTGATACATTGCAGCAAAATAAATACAGAACAGCAAAAAATAACAGCACAATAAAATAAATAAAACATAAAGATAAAACAGTGCAAAATAACAAAGTGAAAATTAAAAAAAGAATGCTTTTGGAACAAGGCCATTTAGCCCAGAAAACTCACAGCAACCCAGATCTTGGAGAGACTACTTTTTGAGATCATTATGATGAGTTGTTGATTTGCAGCCAATACAATAAATCCCTCCCTCTCTTGCCTGCCTGGGACCAGCCTGAGGCCAATGAGCCAAAGGGGGCGGAGCCACGGAGTCGCAAGGCGAGGAAAGGCATCAGGCTACTGACAACAGCGGGCGGGGCTTAGGCCGCTGACGTCACCGAACGCGGCGTCCGCTGTTGGAGCCGGTAGGAGCGTCGGGTGGGAAAAAGAGAAAAACACAAGGTAAAGAAGAGGAGATGAGAGAGAGAGAGTGTGGCCGGGTGCCCGGATGTGCGCGCGCGCGATTGGGAGCGTCCTCGCGCCGGGGTTCTGAGCGTGCCCAGCTGGCTCTGCCTCTGACCCTTCAAAGGGAAAAGGCAGGGGAGAGGTGGTTTTTCCTTGCTCCTAAGATAAATCTCCTACTAGAGTCCCCAAACTATCAATGGTATTTCAAGGGATGCCTCTACACTGGAGAATGAATGCAGTTTGGTACCACTTTAGCTGCCATGGCTCAATGCTGTGGAGCCCTGGAAGTTGTAGTTTGGCGCTCTTTGCCAGAGAATGCTAAAGACCTTGTAAAACTGCAGATCCCAGGATTCCATACTATAGAGCCATGGCAGTTAAAGTGGTGTCAAACTGCATTCATTCTCCAGTGTAGATGTACCTTAAGTCCCTCAGCGCTGCCATTTTTCCACCTATCATGGGGTTTTCTTGGCTCAATGCTGTGGAACCCTGGAAGTTGTAGTTTGGCACTCTTTGCCAGAGAATGCTAAAGACCTTGTAAAACTGCAGATCCTAGGATGCCATCCTATTGGGCCAGGACAGTTAAAGTGGTGTCAAACTGCATTCATTCACCCCTGCAGATGCACCCCAGGTTCCCCAGAGCTGCCTTTTCTCTACCTCTCATGAGTTTTTCATGGATTTGCTCCTAGAGGGTTTGTCATTGCCTTCCCCTGAGGCCGAGAGAGTGTGACTTGCTGAAGGTCACTGAGTGGGTTTGCACAACTTATATGATTTTTTTTCATGTCCGGAGCAACTTGAGAAACTGCAAGTCGCTTCTGTTGTGAGATAATTGGCCATCTGCAAGGATGTTGCCCAGGGGACACTCAGATGTTTTGCCATCCTGTGAGAGGCTTCTCTCATGTCCCTGCATAAGAAGCTGGAGCTGACAGACAGGAGCTCACCCCACTCCCTGGATTTGAACCGCTGACCTTTTGGTCAGCAGTCCTGCTAGCAGAAGAGTTTAACCCATTTTACTACCAGGAGCTCCACTTATATAATGTTGTTGTTGGTGATGATGATGATAATGTATTACTCACCTCTCCTGATGGTTCGAGGCAAGGTACAACAACATATGAGCACAACATATACACAATAAATTATGTAGATAATACAAAAAAAGGATAGAGTCAATAAAAGCATGACATAGTCCAGCATGGACTGAGCACCAGGGCTGAAACCCTGTAGCTCAGGGAATATAGAGAATACAGTATTTAGACAAGCGTAAACATGCAGGGGCCCATGCTATTTGTGGCCGCTGTCTTGTTTTTAAAAGGTTTCATAGCTGGGCAAGGACATGACAACCAGATGTTCATTTTACAGTCTTTATATTACCCCTTTCTACCACAAAACGGTTCATTTGTGTTTAGTATCTGGGCTGCGAAAGCAAACTCCATTTTATTGCCACAATCATTATATGTTGTAGATGTAAAATGTGAAACTGCACATGCTCTGCAGAGTGTTGCAAGCCCTTTTTTAGTTGTGAATTCTATCAGTGGATTTTAACTTGTATTTTACCTCTATGTATCATGTTATATGTCTTTTAATAGTGCTGTAGCTCTTGTTTTAATGGTGTATCTCACTTCAGGGGCTGCAGTGGCACCATGGGTTAAACCATTGAGCTGCTGAACTTGCTGACTGAAAGGTTGGTGATTCAAATCTGGAGAGCAGGGTGAGCTCTCGCTGTTAGCCCCAGCTTCTGCCGACCTAGCAGTTCAAAAGCATGCAAATGTGAGTAGATCAATAGGTACCGCTTCAGTGGGAAGATAGTGGCACTCCATGCAGTCATGCTGCCCACATGACCTTGGAGGTGTCTATAGACAACTCCAGCTCTTCGGCTTAGAAATTGAGATAAGCACTACCCCAGAGTCAGACTCGACAAGACTTAGTGTTAAGGGGAAACTTTTACCTTTATCTTGCCTCAAGCCTCAGGGAGAGGCAGGTTATAAATTCATTGTGTGTTGTTGTTGTTGTTGTTGTTGTTGTTATGCAGCGATGGCTTAGACACAGTTGTGAACTATGAAAAGGATAGTGTAGTATGTGCAAGGGGGTACTTTTGAACATTAGGTTTCTGCTTTACGACTTTGCCTGTCGGGGTGGGACTGGATAGCCCTTGTGGTCTCTTCCAACTGTATATGATTCTGTGGGTCACTTTACAACACATGGCTATTGAAAGTCACCTTCCCATTTCCAACCACATAAGACTATTAAGTGGAGAGTTCTACAATTATCAAGCTGTAAGGACATGTCACAAAAGAACATGGGATAGAGAGAAAAGAGGAAAATCAAACAGAAATAGTGTTCTTAAAGTAAAACAGCAATATTTATAATAAGCAGACAGAACAGATGCAGTTCTGGAACAAGGAGAGCAACCAGGTGCGTTTTTCAGGACACCTTCCAGAGTGATGCTCCTGCTCATCTCTTCCTCTGCTACATTCTGTGGCAACATTTCATTTTCCGTCCCTTCACTATATACATTTAATCATAGAATCAGAGTTGGAAGAGTCCTCATGGGCCATCCAGTCCAACCTCCAGCCAAGAGGCAAGAACATTGCATTCTAAGCACCCCGACAAATGGTCATCCAGCCTCTGCTTAAAAGCCTGCAAAGTAGGAGCCTCCAGCACACTCCGGGGCAGAGAGTTCCACTGCTGAACAGCTCTCACAGTTAGGAAGTTCTTCCTAATGTACTGGTGGAATCTCCTTTCCTGTAGTTTGAAGCCATTGCTCCATGTCCTAGTCTCCAGGGCAGCACAAAACAAGCCTGCTCCCTCCTCCCTCCTCCCTATGACTTCTCCTCACTTATTTATACATGGCCATCATGTCTTCTCTCAGCCTTCTCTTCTGCAGGCTAAACATGCCCAGCTCTTTAAACCGCTCCTCCTCCACCTTGATCATTTTAGTCACCCTCCTTTGGACATATTCCAGCTTGTCAACATCTCCCTTAGAATGGGACACAGTATTCCGGTGTGGTCTGACCAAGGCAGAATATAGAGCTAGCCTGATTTCCCTGGATCTAGACACTATGTTCCTATTTATGCAGGCCAAAATCCCATTGGCATTTTTAGCTGCCACATCATATTGGTAGTGCACATTTGAATTCTCATAATACTTTGCCCATAGTATATCACCTCTGTCTTCCTTTCTTTAGGCTAAACATAACCAGCTCCTTCAATGGTTTCTCATTCTTATCTTAAGTAGTTTCCCGGTGTTCACCCATCCACCTGGGCCTTGTAGAAACTTTGCATGTGGCCATATTGACAATGCTTGGAATTCACATAATGAGTATTTATAAACTTGTTTATGTGAAACATTTTTGGCAAACCACCTTGGAATAGTCCTTGCCTGCGAAAACCATTTGAAATTCATGAGGTCACCATAAGTCAACAGGCACTTTGAAGACATATATATACACAAGGCAAGAACAGTAATATATCTTCAGAACAATGAATTACATGGAGAGATGACACTGAGGTAGGTCCTTGTGAGCAGAGATGCAGGCAAAGCAGCCCAGGCCGAGTTTAATGAAATTGGGAAATGATGAGTTTCATGCAACAGAACCTAAGAAACAGAATGCTGCCTACAGCAATAAACGTGATTGTGTTTGTGGTATTAAAAGTGATAAATACATAATAAAGTGTGGGGTTTCAGGGTCCTCCTCCTTTGTGGCTTCTTGGCACATTTTAATATTTTTTTCTTGGTGCTGTGACTTTTTTTCTTGCTGAAATTACATTTCAGGCTACTGAAATGTAACCGTTCTTGGAAGATTGGAATAATCTCTTGATATTCCAATCTCCTGATTTTTATCTAGTTTATCTTGTTTTGGTCCAACATGAAGGGAATTTATTTTTGTTGTTGATATTTCATTGCTGGCATTTTAAAATTACCATAAGCATTTAAATGTAACAGCCAGGCCCTCTTCCCCCTCCCACCTAYTTATGAAGTGAAGCCAACACACTCATACACACACAGCAACTCTGAGRGTCACCACAGRATAGTGGCTAGGACACTGAACAGACATCATGGTAAACAAAAGTCCCAGGCTCARCCATCTCCCTGCACAGACATCACCCAACACTTTCTCAGTCCACTCCTCCAAGAAAGACYTCTGTACTCCTGAGCCTTCCCAATGAGGCAACTCAAAAAGATAGTACAGTGATRTTGAAAGCCAGTGAGAGGTCCAGCAGAACTAACAGTTATACTCTTTTCTATCTAGTTAMATGCATAGGTCATCCACCAAGGCATCCAAAACTCTGTCCCATAGCCAGGTCTGAAGCCAGATTGAAGTGAGGGTAGATAGCTCATTTCATTCAGGAGCTTCTGGAGCTGAGAGGCCACACATTATGTAACACCTTGCCCAAAATAGGTCCTGTGTATTGGAAACTAGCAGATAGTTCTCTAGTATAGTGGTGTTCATGATAGTGCCTTCATCATAACCTCTTGTACGCAGGATGGAAACCTGTCTTGCAGTAGTGAGGCATTCACTATTGTCCTTACGACATTCAGCAGTTTTTGGATATAGTCCACTGTGGTCATAGTGGCCCTCAGCATTGCTGGGATCCTGTCCACATCCTCAGGTTGTACAATAACAGTGTACAAGCAGGCCCAAGTTTTCATCCACTAGACCTGCATGCAGGTCAGAACGTATCCATAATTGCTGTGCAAACTCTTCACAAAAGGTTACTGAGTGGTTGTATAACTGCAGAATGCAAGAGGCCCCCAACCACTTGAAACAGCTTTACTGGATGACAGTTTTCAGAGATTCAATGGTGGCAATGAAAAATGATATCTTTCTTGCTATCATTGCCATGCCATGGGTTTTCAAATTAATTTTCACTCTTGTTGATCCAGGTCTTCTGCCATTGTTGTTCCCACCTCTTTTCCACTCTTTTCATCACAGCTAGATCATGAGTTGCTAGGTTCCATTCCATGGGAGAAAACACTTAAAAGCAATTGTGCCAACTGT